AATAATAATAATAATAATAATAATAATAATAATAATAATAATAAAAGTAGTGTATTGTATTAGCTTAATTCAGTATAATAAAGTATTTACGTGGACAAATACTTTATTATACTATTAACGTACGTAATAAAACAATCAACCATAGCTGAGGGGATAAAGTGCTATTCACGAACTTAAATTGATGCATGCAAATTCATCTTAAAATTGTTAAAACTTTCGATTTTTGAATGGAAAATAAGAAAATATCAATATTTATATCCTATTTTGCTCAATGATGCATGCCTGAAAATTCAAAAAACCGAAAACTTAGAGCTTAAAACTAAAGATCGTCATTGAATGTAGTGAATCCCCAATGGAATCCTAGCGTATTTACTGATAGAAAAGTGCTAGATTTGAGCATTATATTGCGATATTTTGCAGAAGAATTAGCATTGATATGAATATCATTAAGTTAAGTTTATAGTTGAATTATTTTGTTCAGAAAGACTAAATTTAACAGTAATGCTTGTTATTATTGATAAGTTTTGACGTAGATTTCATAAAGAATTTTTTAATAGAAAGTAAAAAATACGATTAATAATCAAACAATATAAGATTTTAAACGTGCTTTTACGCACTGGTAATAATAAAAATTAACTTGCTTTCACGCACTATCAATAATAGAAATTAGCTTAACAGAAATTTTTTCAGATTTAAAAAAATATGCAAATTTTATCTGAAAAATTATTACTAACTTTACTTTTCGAGCTATTATCAGTGTTTTTGGCCAGTTGTATATCTTTTTCGTGTCCTGAAAAATGCAAATTAATTCCAGCAATGAAATTTGTTTCACGCATTAGAAATAAGATTAAGAATAATAATTTGAAGATTAAAATTTCTCATGAGAGTCATTAATTTGATATCACGCAGAAGCTTGATAATTATTAGGTTGAATAAGTTCTTAGTGATATATTATTTTGTTAGAAAAATTGTCTGAAACAAAATAAAAAATCCCCTTAGATTACAAGTTTAAAGCGTAACTAAGAATGTGAAATAGAAAAAAAGAAAACAAAACTTGACTATTAATAAGTAAAATTAAAAAGTAACAAAGTGATGAGAAATAAGTTTCGTTTTTTTAAACAAAAATTTATAATTTATGCAAAAAAATAAAAACAAAAAAATTTGTAAAATTTTGAATTAACTTTTGGAAAATAATAGTTTGTTAAAAATAAAGTTTAAATACAAATAAAATTGATTATTCAAAAAAGTGAAAAATTATTAAACGAATGACATAATTATGCGTTTCTTAGCTTAATAAAAACCACTAATTACTATTACTAAAAAAATGAAAAATAAAATTTTCTTCTGCGTTTTTTATTTAAATAAAATTAAAAACAAAATTTTATCTAAATTTGAATTAATTTGCAATTTTATTTGAATAAAATTTTGTTTTTTAATAAAAAACCAAAAAATTTTCGTTTATTTTTTGTTTTTTTACTTTTATACCAAATTTTATAGTTTTTAGACTACTTTGACATGCTATCTAAGTCAGAAAATTAGCAAAGTAGACCATTATTGACTATGCTTAGAAGACTAAACATTACTTTACTTTACTTTACTTTACTTTATTCAACGATTATTTTCTTCATTTCCGTCCTCTCAAATTGCTTGCAAAACAAAAACTAACGAAGACTGTGAATAAACAAGAAAATAAATTTTTTTTCGATATATAATATATTTACGTATTTTATACTTATTTTTTAATTTTTGAAAAATTTGCAAAAATTTGTTGCACAAATTAATATAATAACATTTAGTACAAAAATTTTTCTTGTAATTTATTAAAAAATTGTAAAAATCTGTTGCAAAAATTAAAAAATAATGTTAAGTACAAAAGTTTATCAAACAATTTGTGATTTTTATATTAATTAGTTTTTAATTAATTCTGAAATAATAATTGCATGCACAAATTTTATATTGTAATATGTTTAACGCACAAATAATTTGACTTAGTAAACATTGCTATAATTTTTTAGAAATTTATTTATTTGCGTAACTTATTTTATGCAATTATTTTTACAAAATAAAAATTCAATAAAAAGTTATTCAAATAAGAGTAAATATTAAAAATTTGATTTTAAAATAAATAAGCGAAAATTTTCGCAAATTTAATTATAGTATTTGTTTTTTGATAAATTAATTTGTATAAAACTTGAAGTTTGCTAACAACATTTCAAAATAATGAATTATGCAAATTTTAAAATAATTTATCCACGACATGTAAACTTTTTCAGTTTATATTAATTTTATTGATTTTTAAATTAAAAATAAAAAAATAAAGATATCTAGAAAACTTTTTTAATGTTTTATGAAAAATATGTGGACTAATTCTTGTAAGTTTTTTAGTAATTTCATGATTTTACTAACTTTTTTAACTTTTATGTTACTTTTTTGAACTTTAGCATAATTTGTTCCTAACTTATATAAAACTCTATTAATTTTTTAGTAGCTGAAGAACTGATAAACGACAAGCTCTAACATTAATAAATAACAGCAAGTAAACAAATAAATGAATAAAAACACTTTTACAAAAGAAAAGTTCAGTAATATTTGTTATATTTATTCGATATTTAATCTTTCGACCTCAGTAACTGAATGAAATTTCGATAGAAATTAATTAAAAAACAAAAGTTTTTACTCAATTTTTATATATGAATACAGTACATTTAAATACAAAAGACGATATTAGTTACAAATTGAAATGCATTTTTATTTATTCATATTTATGCTCATTCGATCAAGTAAAAGTAAGATTTATTGCATTTGAAAAAGTCTTACTTTTACTTTCACACTAAGCCCAAGTTTTGACTTAGTATAAAAATATCTCAATGATGATGTATTAATTTGCATATTAGTAAAATTTGCATATAATAATCGGAAGACATCAAAGGAAATAGAGTTATTTAAGTTTTGTGGTAGATCGAAGTTAAAATTTGCAATTATTTATTTCATTGTAGAAAAATGAAATGGATTTTCTATTATTATTTACCTGAATCCAAGAAACTTTCCCATTCAGTAGATGCCCAACGATGGATGACGGGTTTGGGGGGCGCAACATTGCGATATCTCGGATCTTCTTCTAGGATATCTCGATCATAGTCATGTAATGGTGTAGTACGACCTGACGTCGATCGCTAATAGTTTGAAAAATTTATATAACAATTTGAAAAATTTAAATTGCATAATATATATAAGATTGTTTGGTGAGAAAAAATTTTGAAAAATCATGCAAATAAGATGATTAAAGAGATTACTACTAAATTTGAATTTAATATTTTATTCGAGAAAATAATGCGAAAAAAAACCAAAAGCTTAAAAAAAGAAAATTTGAATAGAATTTTTTGAAGCTGAAAAAATTATATAAACAAATTAATTTTTATAAATGCTGTCACAAAATTGATAAGTTTGATATAAACGTGAAAAGCAATTATTGTAATGGATGAATACCTGTAAAGACATAGCTTCATAAAAATCAAACCAT